ATCCTTTAAAGATAAGTTCCATCTGATGCAATTATTTTCACCTGACTGATTGATCAATGTAACCTAAAGAATTATAAGTAAAATATTTGGTAATGTGATGATTGATTCATTTAAATATGGAGAGCTTACACAAAACTTTCAATCCGCACAAAATCCAAAAGTAGCGACAACCGGCGTGAATAAATGAAGTTGAAAAGTTCACGATGCGAAAATTGCATCATAATCATCTGCCGATTTTTTTTTTAATTTTGCGCAAGTATTAGAAATACGTTAACCTTGACCGGTATGATAAATTATTTTATGGCGATCCGTAAGTACGAATTGAAATTCGGCCTGTTCAATCAATTTGCGTAATTGTTCAAATTTTATAGGCATTTTTAAAAATAAACGCAATTAATTGTTTATTTTCAATATTCAAATACTTGAGCTAGGCTTCTTAAAAATTATATTTTATTATTATCATTATTATTTGATGTGCTTTGAAAAATTGAAAACCGCTTAAAAGGAATACAACTAAAATACAGAAACATGAACTCATTAATGATCAATGAAAAAAGTTCTTCCTTTTGGACATTGCATTCAAATTATTCCCTCCAAGAAAAATTAAACCATTTTTTTTTTATTTCAAAGACTTCAGTTTATTATGAATCATGACAAAAATTGTTTCCCAATAAAGTAACGGTAGAAATTTTGTGCGACAAATAAATTTTTTATATTAACGGGAAAATTTAAATTTGGACATATATATTTTTTTTCGAATTGCCGATTTTCTCCGTCGTCTTACTCATTTTCTTTGTTTATATATAGATATTTAATTCAAGATAGTTTAAATCATTTCTCAAAGAAACCAATTAAGTTTAATATGAATGTAAACATATAAATATGCGTAAAAGTTGATTGTTATTATGCAAAAAAAAGCACTTAAATATCTAAAAATTATTAAATTCTAAATTCTATGTGAAATATTTTATTTATGAATCTTAAATAACGTTAACATCATTAGGATTCCATATATAATTTATCGACAAATGCACTAATGTATTCAAGCAAGTTATTTTAAATATTTCATCTTTATTTGCATATAGTTTCTTAATGACTTATGACAAATTCTAAATAGCTTACAGTAACGCTAAAGTTTTTTTTTAAAAAAAGAATGAAAATAAAAGAAAAAAAAATAAAGGATATTTCCTTGGTTGGCACAAAGAAATTTCTCATATTTACGTATATTATTATTTTTTTTTAAAAAATAAATAAAAAAAATAAATATTGCTTAAATCATATTTATTCATAAATAATAAAAAAACTTTTTTTCTTCATTTTTGTTTCGTAAATTTTTTCATCTTGTTTTACTTAACTTTAGTAGGAAGGGTTTCCAAAGTAATAATTAAATCCAGGAACATGTGCTAACCCCACAAACAATTCCTCTGTAATTTGTAATACTTCAAAGGAGGTCAATATGCTCATTTCATTAGATGTAGAAGGCACGATTGCATCGTTAAGTACAAAAAATAAAGAAAAGAAGATAGTTGCATTAATTTATTCAATTTCCACATTAAGAAAAATAAATTTACTTGAGATCACCGGATTAAAAATCAAATCTCTTTTTTTCCACTTTATTAGCTTCATAAAGAGACTGAAAAATATCACGCAAATCTGGCTCATATTCTTTGACATATTTCCAAAGATCTCAAGAGATCCGGGAGACTTGAGGGAGCTAATATTTGTTGAGCAATTTCATGCATCTCTGCACCGGGTTTCTAAAAATTATGAAAACTGTCGGTGGTTTACGAGCCAGCTTACTGGTTCTCAGAACATCCTCTTTCGTCGTGATGATGAAGGGAGTAACACGACCTTCGAGTTCAATGGATCTACGATTCGAATCGAAGGGAGTTTTATTTTTACCAATAAAACTAATTCTTTGGAAAAAATAAAAATAAAAAATAAAATACGAAAAAATTCGCTTCTTTGAAAGTATATGTTACGAAAAACAACTCAACCCTATTGACTGACGCAAATGGAGAATTACGCGTTTATTTGGTACTTAATCCTATGGTGTTACCTCCCCGAATACTAAGTCGCCACGAGGTTTAAACGAGAAAAATAAAAATGCCTACTAATCTTCTGAAAAAAATTTTTTCGAGTCACGATATTTGATTGGATCTCAAATCGCTCTTTCATTCCTTGTAAGGGATTCAAAGAAAATTGATGCCTTACGAATAATTAGCCGGTAAGTCAGTTTCGACATTTTAATTATGATTTGTGATTTATATAATTATTTATCGGCAAAAAAAAGGATTCCAGGAGACAGATGATTATGCAGTCGATTTATAAAAGCATCAATGATCCTAGAAACTTTTCGGATATTAATTCGTTTCGTACTCTTTTTTTTTGGTTCATTATTTTTGCAGTACTTTTCATCAAAAATAAAAAATAAAAAAAAAGAGCCAACAGCAGCAAAAATTATATTAATTTGATGGATGACAGAATAGGAATCACTTCAATGACTTTTTATCATTTATCAAAATTAATTTGCCATTTTTTACGGAGTTCTTAAAGAAATCAACACAACAAAAAAAACTAATTATCGCTATCTTAGCCATCTTTAAACGTAGGACCAAAAAACAATGCTAACCAAAAAATAGAGTTTTTCACAACATTTAAATATCAAGTTTTAAATGGGACAATTGTACAACGTTAAAAATTAAATAAATTCAAGTTCAAAATTTTTGTATGGTCATAGTTCTGATAGCTAACTATAATAAGAAGTTAGTATAGTCTACCGACTGAAACATTTTCAACCTTAAATTTTTCTTTCCGTTTTTTTTAACTAAATAACTTCTTTTTTAAAAAATCAAAAAAAAATTAATTCCCGGCCCATAATGAGATTTTCATTCTTCTTATTAGATGAGCGTACATTTCTATTTTTTTTTAAAAAAAAAAATGTTACACAGTATACAAACAAACTGTACTGTACGATCAGGTGAAAAGTACTATACGAAAGGGTATATAGTAAATTAGTACAGTAAGTTAGTACGGACGAATAAAAAAAATAAAAAAATACTCAATATTTCCGTACTTGGACGGACACTCGAAATAAAAAATTCAATGTTTCTGTACATTCAATATTTTTCCATACGTTCGTCACATTTGAGGAAAATATGAAAATAACACTAATGCAGTAGAAGCGGCTCATGCTTTGACTAATAGAGAAGGGAAACAATTAACAATTCAGGTATACCATATACCAAATTAAAGACAGCAAATTGCATCAAATCGTAGATTTAAATATTATTATTATTAGTATCATATATGTATGCATATATTTTAATATACTAACATTTATTTTATTTAGCTAATATAAATATTTAAGGAAAAAAAACTACACAATGACGCTAATTCCCGAATTACAAGTGATGAATATTAACTTACATGATAGAGGTGATGAAATTTTGGTTGAAAATTTGGAAGTTCAATTAATAGAGGAAATAATTACAAAGTTTAGAATTAATTAAATTAATTTGATCCTGATGACAAAATGACCCGAAATTCCAGATCCGTCAGATCAGTCAGAAAAGTCCGAAACGTATCTGCCAGAAATGACAGATCGTTAGCGTCATTTGACGAACGATTCGATTAATTTAGACGCAGTCAATCAATAGCAACAAAACTTTATAAATAACCCTTTACTAACCTAATCTAGCTGAATTGACCAAACACATTAGGTGTGTGCGATATACTATGTTTATCAAAATAATCTATTAGTATTGAAAAAAATATTTAGTTACACAAATAATAAATAACTTTCTCTCTGAATTTACTTAGCATTTGCTTACTTTAAATGCGCTAACTTTAAACTCTTTACGCTCTATTTTCACCTATTTATTTTAACAGTTAGTTTTCTAAGAAAAAGAAAAAGCATTAGTTGATCAGGCAACTCAATAACGCAAATTTATAAATATTAACAAATTATATCAATTTATCCCAAACTTTTACATAATGTTGCGTATTTTACTCAATGACTTAAAACTATCTTCCGTTCTTAATTGTTGTATAATAAATTCTCATTAACGAATCTTTATAGGACGATTGTGTATATATACAAATAATTTATTATTATTTTTGCAACATTTTTATGAAGAATATGTTCTATGGAAGCAGTTGGAACTCTTTACATTCGAAATTGAATGAGGAGATATTTTGTTGGATAAGATTGAAATCTCCTAAGAGAATGATATTTAAATAAACATTTACATAATAAATGCTACACAAAAATCTTCATAAAATTTACTAGTAGACTATACATAAATAATTTTGATAAACATAGTATATATCGCACAACCCCACCCCAATGAAGAAATTTTTTTATGATTTCTTATTAATATGCATCAAAACTTGTGAACCTGTAAATATCAAAATAGTTTAAATAGTATACTAGTTATAATGATATCAGATAAAAAATTAACTTTATGAACTATTCCTCACTCGGGTTTTCATTCAAATTCCTCTATATTAACAAAATTTATTTTGTACAAGTAAAATTATCTAATATTGACGGTTTAATACTTAGGCGCAACTATTGATTTTTGATGAGAAATTTTATACACAGGATTTAAACTTTTTATTAACAATGCAAATATTGATAATAATTCAATTGTAATATTTATTTAATACATTTCTTTTTACAAAAATTATAAATTCAGTATTTTTTAGAGCTCACTTAACAAAATTATATGTGATACTTCTATTTTAAATAAGAAACTTTTAACTAGCAAAATAAGTATAAATCATTTTCATTAATTTTCTTAATGTGGGAGGTTTCTCTTTCTCTTGGTCAGGGACATTCTGTGAATACTCTAATTGTTTCAGAGAATCAAGTATCTCTTGCATAGTTGGACGATTTTGAGGATCTTGGTCCATAGCTTTTTCAATGAGCGAAAGATAAACAGGCGGAGCATCATCAATATTTCTATTGTCGATTGATTTATCCCCTGATAGGCATTCTTGAGTGGCAATCTCCCAAAGAATAACTCCAAAATTATAAACTTCGCTTGCTGAGGTATATTTTCCTTCTCGTTTAACTTCAGGAGCTGACCGATTTGAAAGTTCTATCGATTTTGTTGATTTTAATACGACACATTCGCCTGAGTTTTTACCAAAATTAAAAAGTTTTGGTTCGAGCTTCTGATTCAAAAACACGCTATCGCTTTTAAGGTTGTAATGAAGTAAATTTGAACTGTGAATAAAATTCAAAGCATTGGCAATTCCACGAGCGATTGAGATTTTTGTCCGCCAACCTATCTTGTTTCCTTTTACATAATCTGGAAGATTATAATCAGCACATTCGGTAACTAACGTAATGACGTATTCGTGTTCATTATTAAATATTTTGTACCATTGATCCATTAAATAACGCAAAATTGAAATATCCTTATCAAATGGTAATGATAATACATTACGTTCAGTGTATCCTTTAACCGAGAGAATATTTGTACAGTCATCTGATAAATTCCTTAAATAAGTCATTTCCTTTTTAAATTCAGCGAATTTTACAGAATTTGTTGTAAAGATTCCAACAATTTTTTCAATAATTTTTTTTTCATAAAGGGTTCCTATATATAAACCATCGTGAATGCGTCCTTTCGAAATAATATGATCTTGCGGAATTAAATCTGTTCTAATAATAGGTTCACTTGGTTTCACTTCGTCATGAATGTCTTTCGTCGGTGCAATTAGTTCTTGTTGATTAACAATTCTTTTCTCATGAATGTCTTTCGTCGGTGCAATTAGTTCTTGTTTATTAACAATTCCTTTCTCATTTTTAAGAGAATTAATTCGCTCGAATTCTTTTTTCATAACCATCAACCTTCCGATCGTTCTAATTTTTGAAATGACTGAAGGACTCCATCTACTAACTTTCTTGATCTTAAGAGGTTCATAGGCTCGTTGAAAAGCATTAACAACAATTTCTAAATCTAGAACGAATTTTTGAAATGATTCTTTCACCACAGATTGATTTGTTTCTGCTTGATCACATTTTTTGAGAGTACCTTCAATTTCGTAAATCAAGTTAACAAGATTACCATATTCTTTAGTTTTCATCAATTTATCTTTTTTATCGTCTTGTAAATTTCTAACCTCTTCTAATAATTTAATAGCTTGTTCAATAAACCCGGTACACTTTTCACATAATTCATGATCGTGTTTAAAAGTTCCAAATGTAGTCAACAATATTTTTGCAACAATTATTACTGAATTCAATTCATTTGTTAGCAAAAAAAGTGAATATAAGGATTTTGTTTCTTTTATAGCAGGTAGTACGATTGATGCTAAAAATGATGATACTTCGTTGACTTTGAACATTTTAAAAATTTTTTTGAGAGAAAATGAAAAATTTTTGATTTTTTAATTTGTTTTATGAAAATGATAATTTGTTTTGATAAGTTGTAAGAGTTTATGATGTTATGACTCGCTCTACGAGTTTATGAGGATGAAAGTATTTTTTTTGTAACTTGATCAACAAGTTTGAAAGTGAATAAATAAATGAGGTTTTTTTTTTCCTGACTTGAGTGAAAGAAATCAAAGTTCTATTTATATTTAAAATTAATTAACTGCGGCGGTACAAAATCATACGAAAATATTTTCAAACAAGGAATAAGTTATGTGTTTCATTCATTATGTCCCAATTAGGATATTGTCGATATAATTGTCCATCCTTAATGTCGCACCCAATTATTGATTTCCCGAAAAGTAAATGATCTTGTTTTTTTGGTTAATTATTGTATGCACGTTTATAATTTACCTTTGTTCTTTTAAACTTTGTTTAAACCTTTTTTTTTTTAATCACCATATGGCGCATAATGTTTTATCTAATAATATTAACGTTATTTCTTTCTATTTAATAATAAAGAATTTAGTAAACAAGAGGGAAAAACAAATGAATAAAATTCTTTTTGCTATTTTAAGGGTAAATAGATGATCGTTCCTTGCAGATTATAGACTAACGGATCATCCGCGGAAGATAACCTCCGAAACTATTATCTCGACATCGATACTTAGGATTCTTCGAAACTTCGTAACATGAAAGGATTCTAAATATACGATATTTGTGGCACGAAAATCAGATTTACATTTAATGTTGTTACATATTTTCTATTAATACGTTTCTTTCTAATTTTTTTTTTTTTTTTTTATTGTTACATTTCTATTATTGTCTAATTATTTTTCGTCTACATTCAGTACATTTCCAAAATCTCCAAACAAGTGATTTATTTTTGATTTTAAGAAAATAAGAAAAGCTTGTTTACATTGTGATACTTTTTAGGCATAAATGTTCACCTCAAAATTATGTTCCGCTAATTACTGTTTATCGGTTGCTTCAAAGCTGAAAATTCTCAAAGAGAATACAAGTGAAATTGACAAATTAACAAAATAAAAGATGAGTAATCAAAAATAAAAGACTTTGTGAAGGTCCAAAACTTCAAAATAAATTTGTATTAGTGAAATCATTCTGGCATGTGTAAAGGCCTTCGTCATATTTTCCATTTTTTATAGAACCTTTTGAAACATTATAATCAATAGTCACTCTAAAGGGAACAAATTATAAGTATACCAAACTTTGATCGACTCTTTGATGTACTGTACTGGGACGTGATTGGATCTTGATAGATACAAATTTGATACAATATCAGAATTTACAAAATTTTTTATTTTATTGAATTGTCTAGAAAATTTCAAGTTTTGCCGAAATATATCTTGGCAATTTTAATATCTTATGAAAATTCATCAAATCGAAAGGGAATTTTAATTTCGGTAAGTTGACTTATTATAACTTTTCGTTTCGCAATATTTATTAAATTTTAAAATTTGGTAAATATTTAGTTGTAAATAATTGCTCATTTTCAAAATGATTCAACGTTTGAGTCGACCGAAAATTGTCTAACGACAAGTTAAGACAATTCCAGAATTTGCCAGGCTGGAACCTCTATGATTTATATGTTTAACGTAGAAAAGCGAATAATATTTTTTTTATTTTATTTATTTTAATATAATTTTTATTGTATTCTAATTATCTTTCAGTAAAATCGCACGTATACTCTATTACATAGTAAAAAGAATTCATTTTGCTTCGTTCAATACATTTTAGTTCTTTGTTACACAAACTGTAGGTACCAAAAAAAAAATTAAAAATTAAAGCTCTGTCTTAGATAAATTTTTTAATTGAAAACTAATAAGTTAGAATGAAACTTTTAAATAAATAAATATGTTCTATAAAGGCATTCTTTTAAATTCATGAAATGGTATGGTGATGTATAATAAATAAATATTATATTAAGGACTTAAAGGTTGGTTGATCTTGTGAAATTCTCGACGTAATCGACCAAAAATTAAATTACCAAAAATAATAATTTAATATAATTTCTTGTTTACTTGTAAGAAATGAATGTTGGGATACGATTATTCAAGTAAAGAATTACATCAGTAATAATGTTAAGGTTGCGATTACTAATGCATTATTTGTAAAGATGCTTTATATCTGAAAGGTTGAAAAGGAAGTTATTAACTCTATCAAAAAGAGAATCTTTTGTTATTACTCATTCTTCAATAGATGATTAATAAAAATTTTCAAAATGAAATTAACATTAAATACAATCTTCATTCTCGTTTAGTGCTAAGTAAAAATAATATTACTTGCCTGTTTAAAATTAAATTAATTGAATTTTTTTTTGATTTGCGACATCAAAACGACCCGTCACAACAAACTTCTGAGGAGGTAAAACAAAAATTTGGATATCGAACCTATTGAAAACTATACGTATCCTCTGATCGCAAAGAAACTTTAAAGATTATCTCATAACAATTTATTTGCTGCCATTATCATTAAAAATTCATTTTCGTCGAATTAAACTTAATGGTGTGATTACATTCAATAAAAGAAATAATTAGTTAAAATAATTAAAATAATTAAATAATAATTAAATTAATTATGTAACAACTATAATTAATGAATTAATCGCCGCAGCAACCCGATACGTCTGTTCTGAAACCGGTTTTTCCAAGCTAAACTAAACATGTCGGTTCTATCAACCATACTAATCGACTTTCTTTAATTGTTAATGATCAAAACAAAATATTTTGTCCTCATGCTTATTTTTAGTATGGTTTATTACAGTTAATTTCAAAATTCATTTGTCAATTTTTCAGACACAGGTTTCATACACAGTCATATACACGTGATGTTGCGATTTACATATAAAAAAATGCTTGTGACTCTTTCTTTTTTAGTTCCTTGATAGTTTATTATTAATTGTTTATTATATGATTTGAGTATGACAATGACTGTGTATGAATACCTGTGTCTGAAAAATTGAAAAATGAAAATTTATGGTTGGTGAATTTTGAAATTAGCTTTAATCCTAGTCAATCTGTGGAAAACCCTCGGATTTCGTTACACACATTTAGTTCATTCGGTTAATTAATAATTATTTGAAATTCATAGTGAAATTAATATAAAAAGACCTTGAATTCCTCTTTTTCATATAAATTGAAGCTATATAATTTTTTTTTAAAATAAAGATGCAGCTTCCATACCGCATTCTATATTTAGTATTTATAATCAGTTTATTTGTATCTCATAATCCGACATTATGCAGAACATACAAGTATTCTAGTGATTATTTTTTCAACAATCATCTTTTTTACCTTGAGCCACCACAAACTGCCTTCGCTCTTGACATTGAACCCATAAGTTATCCTAATAAATGCGAAATGGTACAGTTACATTTGGTATCTAGGCACGGTAATTATTTTTTTCGTTCAAATGTATGACTTAACGCAAAAAAAAAAATAATCTTTTTTTTTAAATTAATAATTAGCATCGAGATATCCAGAACCAGATAGGATTAATGCTTTTGAAAAATTGGAGAAAATATTTGCTAATGTTTCGGTTGCAAAAGAATGGGTAAAAAAAAACACTCAATTTTATATTTTATTGAATTCTGCATAATTTAATTATGATCACTTTTTAGTATAAAAATCCTTTCCCCATGAGGAAAAATTTGCAATTGATCGAACGAGGGGAAATGGAAGCTTATTTTGATGGTTTACAATGCCGTAAAAGATACGCAAAATTTTGGGATGGGGTTGAATATGATCCCGAAGTTATAAAGTTTCAAAGTACTGAAAATTCAAGGTACGGTTTATTGAGATTATTCACAGAAATTTAGGTCATTTCATTTATTTAATAAAATAATAATGAATGGTTTATTCATCATATTCTTCTTAAGAACCGGTGCGTCAATGATGGCTTTTTCTCAAGGTTTATTCAATGGCAAGGGGCCTTTAGACACTTGTAAAAGCCAACCTATATATTATTTTAATATACCTACGGTAAAAATCATTTATTGCGCCATTTAATAATCATTCTGTGGCAAATACTATAATTTGTATATTTCTTTTATAGCAACAAGATTACATATTACGTATGCATTACGCTTGTAGACTTTTTAACGAGACAGTTCTTACCAACAATAAATTACTTGACGAGCAACCTTATGCTTATGGTAACAAGACTTTAAAACAAATTGCCAAGCGACTTTCGGAAACATATCATATCAGTCCACCTCTTGATCCATATCTAGTAACACAAATCTTTAATAATTGCCAATTTTGGTTCACTGTTTTTAATCGAACCGATGCGTGGTGTTCATTGTTAAGTCCCAAAGAACTTTTATTGACACGATATTATTACGATCTACTTTCTTATTATCAATATTCATACGGTCATCCTTTCAATACGCGATTGGCATGTCGTTATCTTACTCAGCTTGTAGATGGAGTTGAAAATTATCTAAATGGTAATTCTAGTATGATAGCAGATCTAAAAAATAGTCATAGTTTTACTTTAGTTTTAATTCTTATCGAATTGGTTTGTGTGCAATTTTTTTTATCTTTTTTTTTCGATTTACAGTATATAATATTTATTTGATATTTATTAATTATAGGGAGTATTTAAAGACAAATTCCCACTAACGGCAGATTTAACCTTTGAACAAATTAAAAGTGTCAAATATACAGAATATACACTTATAAACTGGTCTTCAACGCTTTATTTCGAAATTTATAAGTGTTCCGATGATCGCGTGTTGGTACGAGTGTTGCTCGATTTTAAACCGTTTTTGCTGCCGGGTTGTGATAGTGAATATTGCGAATGGGACAAATTTAAAGAGATTCTTGGTGATAATATTGGATGTGATTTTGAAAAGATGTGCGATTATCCTTGAAGATTTATTTTGAATTTGAAATATTTATTTTTTCCTTATATAGCTCTTTTTCTCATATAAATAAAATTCAAAGTTTCGCGTTCGTGAGAATCTCCCTCAATATGATTGGATAATGATGTCAAGTATCACAAACAATTATGTAATGAAATCGATAGAATAAAATAAAAAATATAAAAATAGAATTTAAAGTTTGAGCTAGATTATTTTGATCTACAATGATGTCATTTGGTTTCGGATTTTTTTCAAGATAATTTATTTTTACCATGAATTGCATTTAGCACGAGGAATAACAAAGTTTATTTCGAAAAGAATTGTGACCTCTATCATCTGTCAAATATGGAAAAACATTTACACAGATTACTATAGTTTTAGTTCTTTTTAGTCGAGAATCTGATGAGCAAATTTGAAAAGGCTTGCATTCGATGTGACTTGAGTAAAAAGTAAAAGGATGTGTTTTTTTATTGAAAACTCTATTATTCTTTTTGAAAATTTTTTGCATTAAAAGTAAAACAATAATTTTTTACGCTGAAATAAATAAAAAAATTCGAGGTGCAAAAATGAAAATGTTGTAAATCGTAAACGATTGACTCATTGTCATTGAAATGGCTACTCTGATATTTGATTTTTTGTTAGCTTATTTCAAGTAAAAACCTTTTTTGCTCCATACAAACTTTTTTTTTCATAGAGTTACGCTGATTGGTTAAATGCGGGTGATTGAACTTTATTGTACGATAAATTAATTGGCTCATTTGGAACTGTATGGTGTTGTTTTTACGATTCTATGGATAATTTTGCTAATTGCAAATTTTGTAAGCATCATTTGGTGAAAAAAACGGGTACGAATCGTTTGACACGATTTTATAGATCGGTACGTTTCGCTTCGTATAATAGGACAGCACAGATTTATTCTTTGATTTGTACCGTATTGTTATAGACCTTATATTATAGGACCGGTAACGTACGATTCGATTCTTTCGTATAAGTTACGATAGTATAAATTTTCATTATTGATGAACATAATATAATGGACAAAAAAATATTTACGACATTTTTTATTTTTAAAAAATATTTATTGATTGTTATTATAAAAAATTATTTTTTGATATCTTACTAATTTATTTAATAATGCTTTGTGATCTAATTTAATTAAGGGCATACTCAAGCACCCTAACTCAATGGTTCAGATCAACAAAATATGGAAGCACAGACATCTTTTTTCGTAGGGTTAAAATTAGAGAATGCTTGTCGAGTTCGAAAATTCCTTATTTACTTTACTGACTTTTGGCCCTTTTGTGATGTGAAGTATTAGATTCAGTAAAATTCTAGATATTTTTTTTATAGAATACAGTCAGATCTCTAAATATTTTCTTTATAAATGCAAACTCTACACAGCCTCAAGTACACTTATAAAGATAATATAAATTTCTTTCTTTAAATGCATGCCCTTTTTAAATGCACATTTTTTTCAAATTTTCACCATGTCCCAAGGGGTGCGTTCAGATAATTAAGAATATTTGATGCAGAATGATAATTAGTAATTACTATATAAGGATAGTATCATGGTAAAATCTTCTATGCATATGGATCATTTAGGTCAATTTGGAAAATGTGAATGTCGGATATATTTTTCAGCATGATAATATGAGAAAAGAGACCAAATTGAATATTATAATCACAATTATAATGCAATAGGATGTGTAACTTTGATCATCCAATTTTTTTCTCGACGTTCACACAAGAAATTCCTGCATTTAAAAAAGAATGGATATACATATGAGTTAAAGCATTCCTAAATCATCACAAGTAATTAACATTCACCTCCAATCATTCCAATCTGAAAGAAAATATGTTATTGTAAAATCATTGTTAAGTTTAAACTGTTCGTTGTTAAGTTAAAAAGATTATTTGCTAGCAGGAAGTTTAAGTATGTTTAAACTATGGAAGAAATAAACACGAATAATTAAATTAAAGGGTCAGGTTGTCTTTATTGATATAGATTTAAAGAAGAATGAAGTGTTTTATAAGCAAAGGTAAAGTTTAGAGATAAATGTTATTGTTTTATTAGAGAATTGATAATGACTCTGCCATTTATTGAGACAGAAATACAAGATATTTATATAAAATACATCAATATGAAATAGATATTTAAAATAGTAAAGAAATATAAGAAATATAAGAAAATAAAAATATTAAATATATTAACGAAATATGTGAAATCAGAGAAATTGGAGATCGCTAAGAAATTAGTGAAATCTGAGAAATCAGAGAAATGGTAGAAAGTTGAGATTCGTGATTGAATTGATTACCATTCGTTAATTAGGTTAAGCGTAGTATCATGCATTATAGCAAGACTATCACTAACACCATTTTGGTAAGCAGACCAAAAAGTCAACTATTATTGCATAAAGTGAAGTAATTATTTATTGATGAATTTTCAATTATCAGACACTATCAAAGTTTGCCTTATTATTAAGGTGTTGATGTTTAATAATAAAATATAAGGCATTTTGAGAGATCTGGGACAGATTTCTCAAGGTGCCTATATATAGTACTCAAATCTCCCTTCAAGTCCAGTTTGCTATATATTTCATTTCTATTTATTCAATCTTCTAGCGTCTTTTGACTCATTTCTAGATGATGTTATCGAACTTGACTAGAAATTAGTTTATCTGATATCAAGAACTACATTGATTGTTATAACCATTCTAGTCTGATTTTAATCCCAAATAATATATCAAAAAAAGATTACTATTCTGTTTGCCTCTGGATGACCCAGCGAAAATCAAGGAACAAAGTGATGCGATTTGAGATAGGCCTGATATTGCAAACTCAACATAAATAATAACTTTTATGCTATTCTACTTGCCTCTAGAGGACCCAGTGAAAATCAAGGAACAAAGTGACGCGATTTGAGCTGGGTCTAACTATACAAGTCTAAAATACATAACATATTCTAAGTCTCACCTCTAAATCACACCTTTAAGGTATATATACACTAAGTCTCACCCATAAATTTTTCGCATACATTATAATCAAATTGCCTTCTAACAGCATACTGTTTAGATAGCAAGAGAGAACAAGCATGAGGAGAAGTATTGAAGATGCGACGGGTTGCAGAGCATTGAAGATGCAGAGCATATGTACACAAGATGTGTTCACAGATTGAGGAGCATCAAAGATGTGGAGCATATGTACACAATATTTGTTCACAGGTTGCGGAGCATCGAAAATGCGGAGCATATGTACATAATATATGTACACAGAGGTTGCAAAGCATCAAGGGTGCAAAGCATGTACGCAAAACATAAAAAAAATCAAGTAATATAAATGCATACATATTGAGTTCCAGGAATA